TATGTGGCTCCAGCATTCTTCAGACCAAAGGGCATCATTTTGTAGTAAAAGTTCACAATTGGTGTTCTGAACGCTGTGTGGGGTGCATCTACAAGGTCCATGTATATTTGATTGTATCCACTGTATGCATCCATGAAAGAAATCAGCTGGTTCCTGGCCGTTGAATCAATAAGAATGTCCATGTTTGGCAACGGGCTGTATGAAAGTCAAACCATAAGCCTGAACTGTCTTTTGACAAAACACTTCCCATTGAGAAACAGGGGGCTGAAAATCAAACTATAAGACAAAACTGTCTTTTGACCAAACACTTCTTATCGATAAATAGGGGGGCTGAGAACTTCACCAAATACTGAAACATTTATCAATAGAAAGCACAATTGGTGTTCTGAACGCTGTGTGGGGTGCATCTACAAGGTCCATGTATATTTGATTGTATCCACTGTATGCATCCAGGAAAGAAATCAGCAGGTTCCTGGCCGTTGTGATATGTATGAGAGGTACCATTCTTTTACTCGATGGAGCCGAGTTTTTCCAAGCCGGGGAGAGATGATCGGGATCAGCTTAAGGCATGTCAAAAGAGAACCAAATCTGCTACTGTGCTCGTTTGGCATAATTACGAAGATATGGGGCACACATGGGAGCTGGATTAGTAGAGGATGAATTTAGGAAGACCCTAGAGTCTTCAATCCACCTAAGATGCTCTTTGTGTGGTTAAGCTTACTGCTGGACAGGACTTATTTGGTTTTCTTACATTTCTGGTCAGCAGGGGCATTTTTGTACTTTTGCATGTTTAGGAGTTATGTTTGGGAACAGGTCTTAGTCTAGTAATTTCCCTTTGTTTGGCTTTATGTTTGTAATTGCTTGGGGCAGGTTTAGTCTAATCTAGCTTTTTTTTTTTTTTTTTTTTCTCTCTTAAAAGTGGCTTGTTGGGCAAGTTTTTTACTTTGGGAGCTTCTTCTTATTAAGTTTGTAAGGCTCATTTGGAGGACAGTTTTTACTAATGAAGAAGAAAGCTTCTCTACAGAATTTGGTGTGATTGTCAAATTGGGGGTGTATTGCCTAGGGTTTCATCTTATTTCCATCTCTCTTCTCTCCTCTTCTTTCTCTACTAGTCCTTTGTTTGTGCTACACACTCAGACCTCAGTTGTTGCAGGAATAGTTCTGAATCACAAAGATCCTACATCAGCTTGGGTGATTCATTGGGTTAGAAAATTGGAAATATTCTCACCTTTTATTCCTATGATAATGTTTGGTGGGATTGGGTGAGGTGGCAAAAAATTTTCAAAGAATACTTTATAATTTTGATGGGAGTAGTAGGGGTAAAGAGTAATCTAATCCCTTTGGAGTAGGGAAGGCCTTTAGGGACAAAGATGGTATCATTGCTGCATTGTTTTCCGAATTAGCTGGGATGGGGAGCCTTATAAGAGAAAAATTTCTTGTGGTAATTTTGGAGATGCAGTTAGCAAGAGTCACGAATTTAGTTGCAGATTCTTTTATGGTGGAAGACAATAGGATTATATGGTCTCTTTTCTTCACGAGAAGTTATATTTTTTTTTTTTGAGAAAAGGTAAAGTATGATCGTATTAATAATAGGCCCTGTGTACATTGAGTAGCTGTACAAAAGAACCTCAAAAGGCCATCCTCAAAAAAGTATAATCAGAAAACTATCTTTAAAAACAGTATGTATAGACATCCAACTTTTCAAAACTTTTATTGACCAGTTAATGACCTCCACTTCAGTAGAAGATTTTTTTTTTTCAAAAATCCTATTGTTCCTTTCTGACCACACAGCCCACAGCACTGCCAAAGGGATGTAATTCCAGCATAATTTTCCTTTTTGAGACATACCCTGAATCTGCCATTCCTCAAATAGAGCTCTAACTGAGGCTGGCATACACCAACTTAGATTCAGAGATTTGAAGAAGTGAGGCCAAACTGCAGAACTAAACTTGCAGTGGAGGAAGAGATGCCTGGATGATTCCACTTGCTCATTGCAAAAACATCACCTCCAATCTGACAAAAAGAGCCCTTTTTTCAGCAGCATTTCTTTGGACAAATACCTGTTCAGAACCACCACCCATACAAAAAACTTGACTTTTGGAGAAGCCAAAATCCCCCAAATTACTTGATTCGGGAAAGGGGCTTCAGGCCTCCCCACTACAAAATTGTAAAAAGATTTGACTGAGTATTCTCCTAACTTTGTGACCATTTCCATACTCTTGAGTTTTGCATCTGGACATCTAGTTGTTGGTCTTGTAACAGATTAAGAAACTCTGCCATCTGCTGAATTTTCCAGTCATTAAAACTTCTCCTAAAGAGAGGAACCCAAACTAATCTGCCTTCCTGAAACAAAAAAGAACCAGCCACTAAAGCCTCCTTATCTGCACCCATATTATACAAGGCCGGGAACAACTCTTTTGGAGTGCAGTCACCAGCCCACTGGTCTAACCAGAACCTGATTTTTCTTCCATGTCCCACTTTAAATTTGATGCACCTATTGAACTGCTTATAAGCCTTACAAATTCCTTTCCACACCCCACAACCGTAAGTACCGTGGGGAATAACAGCATCCAACCCATTATTCCTTGGTCTATATTTCTCCACAATCACCTTCACAGTTTGTCTGGTTCACAAGAAGTTTTAATGACTGGGAACTAGCTTTGGCGGTTGATGGGGATCGGTCTTATGCATTATAAGGCCTATTCTCCTAAGAAGGCCAACAAACAGGTTCTGATTTGGCATGGAGAAGACTCTTGGGACTTGGACTGATCTGGTCAGGGGTATGTTTGTCATTTTGACCAGCCCAATGTGGACTTGGGCTATAGCATCTTGTTCCAGTGCTTGTCTTTCAATTTTCAGTTTATTTGCATTAGAAGATAGAAAGTTATTGTGTTTCTTGATGCACAAGACAAAGAGTGGCACTTTTTGTAATTATGGTGAACAGTGTACCGAGCCACACAAGTCACTCTATAAATAGATGTATCCTCTTCCTTTTGAGGTTAATGGATGAATGGAGATTTCTTAAGAGATCTGTTTCTGTATGGAGTGATTCCTACAAACCCTAGAGTGATTCTAGGACCCCTTGGAGTGATTCCTTGGGATTTCTCTCTCTTTTCTCTTTCTCTACCCTTTCTACTCTCTCTTCCTCTCTCTTTCTGTCTTGTGTTAGTTTGTTCCAACCCTACTGCATCAGCGGTCCGACTTTTTGATGTCCTTCAAAGTCATCAGCTGTACCTGCAAGTTCAAGATTCAAGGTGTTGGAAGTGGACAAACACTGGAGAGTTTTCTGTTAAATCCTTCTATATTGGTCTTGTTGGTGAGGCAAAGGTTTTATTCCCATGTAAGATCATCTGGGGGAATGCAGCTCCCCCAAAAGTAAAAATCTTCAAATGGGTGGCTGTTTGGGAAAAATGTTTGACAAAATCCATGCTGTTGAAGAAAGGTTTTAATGTTCCAGATTTGCTTTGTGTTTTCTGTAACCAAGAGGAGACTTCTAGTCACTTATTTCTGCACTGTAGTTTTAGTGCTTCAATCTGGCATTATTTTCTTGGAGCTATAAACTTGCATTGTTGTGCCCCGGGGTTGGTGAAAGAACTGTTAGAGGGGTGGCAAGTTCTGGGTATGGCAAGAAAAGGGAACATCTGTTGGTTCTAAATTCCAGCTGCAATGTTGTGGGCAATTTGGCTTGAAAGAAACTGCAGAGGCAGAAGTCAGCATCTGAATCAGTGGTTATTAATGCAGCAGAAGGGTTTTTAAAGGGCTGGATGTCCGCCCATCATGGATTCGGAAATGATGCCTTTTCTTCTTTTTTGAGGGTGGATGTTTTTTTGGGGTCTCCAATTGTACAGTTTCTCATTGTACAGAGGACCATACTTTTGATATCAAGACATTATACTATGCTTTTCCTTTCTCAAAAGTATTTAATACATGAAAACTTAATTTCATTAAGGTAAATGTATTATTGTCCATATGCGTTACAATTAATATTTTGCAAATTAAAAAATAAAAGTACATGATATTTTACAGGGGTACAGGGATAGGTCAGGTTTTTAACAGGGCTAAGCCTCACCTGGTATTGACTCGAGTTCTTTATAGAGATCTTTAGAACTGGGCCAGAGCTCAGCTAATGTTTTAAAAGGTGTGCCTAGGCTAACAGGTGAGTCTCATTTTCTGGGGTGCACCTCATCTGATTTACTGTTATGTTTTGATGAATATTGAATTTGTGTTACCTATTGATGTTTAGAGTTTAAAAAATTTAGCTATATAGGATTTGAACAGGCTTCATTATTAACATTAATAACATGAATATTGATAATGGCTTTCAGAAGGGGCTTCAATATTCATATTAATAATAGGGTCTGAGTTCTATTATTTCTTAATAAATTTTCTTTCTATCTTAACATGTGATTTCTTATCACCATTTAATAACATGATGCTCTAAACAATTTAACTCATGAGATTTTTGTATTTTAAGCTTTTCTTTTGATTTTTTTTTCAAGAGTTGTGCCTCATTTTTCTCGTGTGCATGCCTTAGGCTATAGGAAACCCTTGTGCTTTAGTTGCGCTTCTCACTTTTAAAGCACTGAACATAGCATGGCCAAATCCAAGGCCAGTGCATGTGCACCTATAATTTCTGAAAATCCTTCTTTGATCTCTTTTGGGCTACTTGTATTTTCTCCTTGTCTTCTTGTATATCTACTGCATTTTGATTTTATTTGTTCATTGCTCAGTTTATTATCAATAGAATAGGGTTTTGAAGGCAATAAATATTGCTACACATAATAAATAAAATGTTGGTCAAAACTAGTTAGAGGGATATGCTTAAAAGCAGAAAATTAACACCTTATGTTTAGACTTTATAGTTTATACTATATTATGGCTTTTATTGGTCTGCTACCTTTGACTATTACACTTTTCTAACAAATAACTTTTTGAGAATGTTACAAAAAAATAATAACAAAGAAAAATGAACCAGGCATGATTTACATATTATGTTTCAGCTAGCTGATGCAAAGGGTGTAATGGAAGCAGTTCGGAAGATTGAAGGTGTAAGATTCCCTGTCTTAACACCTAACCTTAAAGTAAGCAATCTTGCCTGGATCTAAAACCATGTAAAATTTTTCTAAAGAAAATCTTGACAATTTTACGTTGCCTCTTTGTAGGGTTTTGAAGCAGCTATTGCAGCTGGAGCTAAGGAAGTGGCTATTTTTGCATCAGCTTCAGAGTCCTTTTCAAAGTCTAACATCAATTGCAGCATTGAGGATAGTCTTATCCATTATCGAGCTATTACTCTTGCTGCAAAAAAGCTCTCAATTCCTGTGCGTGGGTATGTTTTCTGGCTTGTCTAATTCTAATGAAATTGTTTTTCATTTTTCTGTTATTTTTATTATTCTGTGGAACATTTTCTTTTTCCCTCTACGAGTCTATGTACTGAGGATAATTGATTTATCTCAGTTCATATTTTGGGTGCCCATGTTGCACCACTCATGCATCAACAAGAATCAACACTTTTATGCAGTTACCAAGCCTTGTTTTAATCAATTATTTGTAGATTAGCTGTACAATTTTATTATATTTAACTGCATTCATTTTTTTTTTGAAAAAGTTAAAGGTAAATTTATTAATAGAAATCAGAACCATAAAAAGGCCTCCCAGAAGGGAGCAAAGACTGAGAACAGCCTCTCAGTTTACATTACAATTCAAATATACTAACAGAACTTAATTGAGACCCCAAGACTCTAGGCTGTATGTCTTTTACACCTGCAGTCCAGGATACAAGCTTTCCCACTGCACCAGACACAGGACAGTTCGCCTCCTTTTTCTTATTCTGAAAGATTCTTCTGTTTCTCTCTGCCCATATGGAATTGATAACAGCTGCAGGGATAACCCACCACACACTTCCAGACAACTTAGAAAGGCCTAACAAATCCCAACTCCTTAGAAGATCCGAAACCTGATTTGGCATGACCCAGGAAATACCTTCCGATGAGAGAAAATGGTTCCAAATTTTACCCTTTCGGGAATCGTATTCTTAGTTTTAGAAAAACTGCATTTTTCAAGGATCGTTCTTGTATCGAACCAGACTAAATCTGAAACCAAAAAGAAGGGAGAAATATACTTGATACGGAATCCACAAGTGTAGCTCCCAAAGTGGTAGTTCACACCCAAAGAAGGTACCAAAACCAACTTCCAGTGAAGATGGTGCAACTTAGGTTGAAGCCGGTTCAGCAACACAGTCCTTCAGCAAGAACTGTAATCCAACAACTTGGATCGAGCAAGGGTGTGAGCATGAATTGAATCTGATATGTTTGTGCAAAAATCAGATATCAGAACTGATTTCTATCAGTTCAAGAACTGGAGGTCGAACTAGGGTTTTGGGCATCAAGAGCAGAAGGAGAGAACTTAGAGCAGAAGTGTTACTGGAGTAGTTCACCCCCTCCTCCTTTTATAAGCCTTAAGGATTGGCACTCCTAATCCAATTAGGAGGAGTCTTTAATCCAAATCTTTATTTGGATATGGACTCTTTAAGTGGATAAGAGTTATCCTCTTATCCTAATTGCTGATCCAAACCCATATCCATACCCATATTCACCCATGTCACATGACTGCTTAAGCTATCATGTGACTTCTTGATTAATTTGATTAATCATGGGCTTTAGGCCCATTAAGTAAGTGGCTCACGACCCTAGATAGTTGTTGGATCATTTGGCTCTTTGTATGGCATGGGACCCCAACAATGACCTCACATAATTCCATATGGATCCGGCCCAACTTTTGTAAAAAAGCTTGGCCGAATTCACTGTCAAGTACAGTGAACCCCTAAGTCCATCAGTATGGGCTCTTAATGGGCCCAACATTTACACTAAAGGATCCTTGAGTCCAGCCATCTTATGAAGGCCCAAGGACAATGGACTTAAGTGAGATGTAGCTCATCAGGTAAAACAACCCTAAATGGTCTCTTACACTTAACCTCTCAACCCTTAATGATCGAACACTCCCCGATAGGGAAGGACCTCTCCCCTGGCTGCAAGGTGTAGTGTTAAACTCTCTACTCGGATGGGTTCAGGGAATTAAAACCTTTTGCAAACCTTTTTCTTAAAACACAACAATATATATATATATCATATAAATATATTTTGCAAAACAAATCTCAAACAATTTGGAAGTCGACTGCCAACGGTTTTGGTTTCCATCAGAGAGTGCAGTCCCGGTCATTCACTTTGTTCGACAAAGGGGCTGATCCTGTCACTATGATTACCCACTCGAGTGAATTCTCAGACTGGCCCAACATACCCAGGTTTTCACCCCCAAAGGATCTCACTGATTGACATATCAAAGACAACCCAATCCGATACCCAGTGTAGTACCATAATCAAGTCTAGGGGTTATGTGTAACTTTCCAGTTTTGCCCACCAGTCTCCAAGGTCTAGGGCATAATTGGAAATTGGTCCGGGTTTAGTGTTTCGAATAAACAMACACTGCATGTGCTTCGGGTCTAACCCTGGCAGCTGAGACAGCCTGCCCCAACCTTCTTGGCAGCACACCAGTGTCAGCCTTGGCAGGATAAACTTMCCTAAGTCTATCCAATGGCTGAGAACATTCTAAACTAACATGAGTCTCATAAGTGTCCAGTTTAGGGGTAATTACTTAGAAACACACCAATTATAACATGAATCAATTATGTACTTTTATTTATTTACAA